TGGGCTGACCCCTGCGATTATTCCTAATGCGAATAACTCGGGCGCGTAATTTTTGGTAGTCGGGACTGCGTACGCGCTGTCCCGGATGAAATAATTAAATAAATTTGTGGTTTCTTAGGAAGCTTTTCAGAGTAGTTTGAATAGAATCGGCGATTTATCGCAAGTCTGGCTACTTTTCGGAGTTTGAGCATCGTTTATTTCATTACGTTTCGGCAAGACAACAGCGCCACCATCAGATTTAAAATTTACACAAACTACAAACACCGATTCACAATTAAAACGTATAAAAACTTAAATTTGTCTGAATTATTTTCTACATTTCCGAGAGTGATAGGCATGTTTTAGATAAGCAGAAATAGTTTCAATTTTTCACCAGTGAGTGTGGGGTGTTTCATACTTGGTTATGGCTTTAATAGGGATTGGTAAATGTTGCTAAGGTTGTGGTATCTGATCTGAAATTTACTGCTTTTGCATGTTTTTTTATTTGCATCATTTCTTGGATTCTTCTTTTATGATAATTTGTTTCCTTAACTAATATATCTGCGTTGTCAAAATCAAAATTATGCAACATTTGGTGTGCATGTTGTGTTAATGCGGTTTTATTTTCACTAGTATTTCTCAGGCTGTTTTTATGTTCGTACATTCTCTTTTTTAAATATTGTATTTTTTTTAATTTTTAAATAAAATAATTTATAATTTGAAAACGGTTGATTTCACAGCTTAAAGTGTAAATGCAAATTTGTAAATTGTCTGTCTAATGACGTATTAATATACAAGTACTTCCATTTGAAATACAAAAGTTATATGCGTTAAAAAGTTTTAGATTGAAGTCCACATTGTTAACACCCTGTACAATGTATTGATATTTCGCTTCAATAGAATTCTTAACGGATCTGTGGTGATTGGAAAGACGTATTTTTTTGTATCTTTAACTCCTTTTTTTTGCTTCTACAATGAATTTTTAGATACCATGTTTATAAGCAAAATTTTACTTAAATGATTATAATCTGCCAACATCTCAAGTAAGACAAAAACAATTTACGGAGCATATGCCCCATTTCAAGCTGCATTCCATGAGCTAATGAAAAATGGGTAGCTATTTAAAAAAATACACTTTGATCTTGCCTCGCTATTCTGAGACACTTTGTATCATATAAGATATTTTTAAAATGTAAAGAAAGAACTTTTATATGAAACTATTTTTCGAAAGTTCAACACCAACGGAAATAATGGACTCTCTCGCACCAAAAAACCACCCTGTATGTATTATCACATTATAAACAATTGTATATACTTTCCTGACTGTGTTTCAATTCCAAATCAAAATTAATTCCTGGGTTTCAGTCATTTATTGTCTTTATTTATCAATTAAAATACGTTTCGGTGTATTTTTCCACCATCATCAGTTTTTCTAAAATAACACAGTTTAAAAAAAAATTTTCATTAATTTAAAAAACAATCACAGTTCGTCAACAGCCTCATCATGTCACACATTAAAATACATTACAATTGCAACACTTTAAAACATTAGGCCTAACAGGTGATTAGTCAGGACAATCAAATTTGGAAAGAGACTAGAATTATTTGTTCAGATACTTAAATATTTTTACTTACACGTGTAGAGTTGTTGCTGCTTTAAGCCTTGGCATACATTTGGAGTATTAATTTTGTCCATTTTG